CCCCTTGGGCTTATTCTGATTCCCTTGTGGCCTTAGCTCCATCAGCCCTTCCAGTTCTGGTTTTACTTGATAGTTCTTTCTGTGTATATTTTCAACTACTATAAAGAAACTCCAGGAGCAGCCGCATACAAATCATCATGCAATAGAATAAACAGTATTTTGTTATATGAACAAAGTGCTTGTAAAGCACAATGGAAAAGGCAATTCATTTTGTGGGGTACAGGAAGTGGGAGAGGCCTCGCAGAGCATCATAACATTTCAACGAATTCTTGGAAGTAGAAATTGTTTCTTTAGGTGACCTGGGGGAGGGAAAGGAATGGAGCAAGGAGATTAAGGCAAATTCAAATAACAACAAAATCACAGAGATATGAAGATGTATGATCAAGAAACAAGGATGAAGACAGTGTGGCTGGAATGTACACTCTGATGAGAGTGGTGAGCAGTTAGGAACAGCCTGTGGAGGTTTCTTGTGAAAATGATTAGGGTTTAGTTTATGGACAACTAAGATTCTATCAAAAGTTATCATCAAGGCAGGGCATGATTACTCTGCATTTGAGAAAAAAAAATGTGTGTATAGTAAAAAGAATGGCTTGGAGCAAATAACTGGAAGTAGGAAACTATTTATTTAGCTATTAAAACAGTCCAGTTCTATCAGTGGTATGACTCAGTGGCAGAGCACTTGCCTAGCATTCATAAGGACCTGAGTTCAATCGCAAGCATTGCAAAAACAACCAACCAAACAAAAACAGTCCTGTTATGATATAATAAGACCCTGAATTTTAGGATACTGTTAAATGTAAACTGATCAACAAGATAATGTCAGAGTCCACTAATTCTAAAATATTTTCAAACATAATTGAAAGAAACAAAATTGTCTCAGGAAGCAAGATGATACATTTCAAAAATCTTTAGCAATTTGTGAAGATTTATATAGGGGATAAAGATTTCTTGTGCCTTCTAAAGGGGTAATACATCTTCTGAAGTGTGTCTGCTTTTAGATTTAAGCAAATATTGAGACTCGAGTAGGATAAAGCCTTCTCAGAGTGCAGTGTTGAAACAGAAAATTATGCTTTCACAAAATACATCCTGTTATGTGTTCATGACTCCAGATTCCCACCAAGGGCTCTGTGACACTATGTTAAAAGTATGCCTCACCATGCAGGCATAATTTTAGCACAGCCACATATGTACACAGTAGTCCAATTGCAGGAACAATGAAACACCAGAGGCCAGACCTTTTGCTTTTGCAGTGTGCACAAAGGTACATTGCAAGTTAATAGGTTAATAAAACTCTAAAACTGAAATCAAGGAATACTGCACAGTAGTTATTCTTAAAGTTAGTGTGTTTTCTTAAAATTTAATGCATCCCTCTTTCATAAAATAGAAATAAAAGAATATCAGCATGGAATTTTTAAGCAACTATGTTTGTTCTTCATCTACCTCCCATAAATGGTTGAAAGTAAGTCATGTAAATAAAGTGTAGTCTTTAGGTTACTGAGTAGGAAATGCTTCTTTTTTATTTATTTTGATTATTATTGTTGTACTAGGGGTACATTGTGACACTTAAAAAAGTTCTTACAATATGTCATAGTTGAATTTACTCCTTCCATCATACTCCTTTATACCCCTCTCCCTCATTCCTGGAATAGCTTCAACAGGTATCATTTTTCCATTCATGTACATATATGTACATCGTATTTGCACCATATTCACCCTGCTACACCATTTATCCACATCCCACTCACCCACATTGGTACCTAACCCCCAGACAAGAACTGTTCTGCCCTCCTGTCCTCCAATTTTGTAAAAGACACAATGACATTTCCTTGTGACATTTCCACGTATACATGTATTTTAACCCAAATAGGTTCATCTTTTCTATTTTTCTCCTTTCTACCTTAATCCCCTTCTTATGATCATCATAAGGTTTAAAATTTCTATATTCATTCTTGTATAGGAAGAACATCTACCATATTCACCTTGTTAACTTCCTCTTTTTGTTGTGCCTCTCTCATAGGTGACCTCCTCTTAGCATGACTTGTTTTTCATAGTATTGCTTATATTTGTATTAGGTCTATAACTGCACGTTTTTTCTCATATGTAGAAAATACTTCTTTTTATTGTTGCCATTATATTTGGTGAAATATGAGTCCAGTCCCTTTATTCTGCTATATCTACAACTCTTCTTGTCCAAATCTAAAGGCCATTTTTAGCCTTCACTATTCCTGGCTCTCTTGAGCACTGATGTTTTGAAATGATCTTTATCTCGTGACCCTTTAATTTTCTACCTCCTTCCTGCTGATTCCTTCTCTTATCTTTGTCACCTCTACTTGATCTTTTCCTCCTATGTGTTGGTACTTTCCAAAGGTCTGTTCTGCCCCTTTATTCATTTGTTTTGATTTTTTTTTCCAAATCTATTACTATCTCTTCTCTGCTGAACACTCTACTGAGATAGAGTTAGGCTCAGATTATTCTTTGCTCAGGTTATTGTCCCTTTCAAAAAAAAAGTCACTTTTCCTAGTTTCTCCTTAGATTTCAGTCTTTTGAGTTGTCTTTCCTTATGAAGGAGAATGCCTCTTCCATGTGTTACAAGCCACCTTTGTGATAGCCCCATTATTATAGCACTTATCATCATACATGGCTGTGTTTCTGAGTATGGATCCCAGACCAGTAGCATCAGTGTCACCTGGGAACACATTAGAAATGCGAATTCTGAGGTCCCACCCCAGATCAACTAAATCAGAAACTCCAGGTATGTGGTTTAGGAATCTGTGTTTGAACTAGCCCTCCAGGTGATTCTGATGCAGGCTAAAGTCAGAACTATTGCTGGTTGCCTGTGTTCAGGCTCATTTCCCAACTAGATTATGGGTTGTTTTACAAAAGAAACTGTGATGGTATCTTTTTTTCACTGTGATATCACTAGTATCTAGTACAGAAGCTGATGTATTGTTGCCACACGGAAACAATTTGCTTCAAAGCATGACCAAATGAATAATAATGAAAGCACTTTGTAAAATGACTTCCAGTTGTACATCTTTGACCTCATACTTGGTTATTTTGTAGGGAAAGCAAAGGAACATTTCAAAGTCAACCTCTGTAATAGGAAAGTTGACAACTATTACCCTTCATCAAATCTGGGCTCTGCAACCCTGACTGACTTTTTAACTCTCTGACCTGTTCCCTTTTAACAATACTGTAGTCATTTTCCCTATTACTCCTGGAAAATTTGTTAATCATCTTTTCTTGAAGAATAACTGCATTTATTCTGGGATGTGACTAAAACATATTTGCCACAGATAATCTGAAAAACTCACACAAGAAAAGGAAAAAAGAAAAAATCAAAGGACTTGAAATTCCACCTGCCCGGAGAGCATCACTAACTGTTGCATGTATCCATCTATATTTTTATTTCTACCATGTCTGCATGCGTTTCCTATGTAGAAATGGCTGCCTGTAAAGCACAGTGTTTTCTAATCTACTATTATTGCACTGTTGTGAGTTTATATATGTCTTAAAACACTGTTTTTTCACAGATCCGTTAATAGCTGCATGGTATTTTTGGCAATAATCTTTGATTTAGCCCCATCCTCTTGTAATTAGCTGAAAGTCCTGTGAAGTCCTTTTCATTACTTCCATCATCATAGTCCAGACTATTTCTCATTCCTATAACCTCTTGCGATAGTGTCCCACATTTGCTGGGAAATTCATTTTTCTGAAGAGTAGTTCTGAGCAAATTATCCAAAAGTCTACATGACTCTCCAGAGCCTTCCAAATAAGGCCATAGTCCTGAGCAGGTCAGGGACTGCTGCTGGTGCCCTTTGTTATCCAGTTTCTGTATAAGACTGCTTACCATTCTTGCAGAATGTTCCATTTTACCCTTCTCTTGAGTCTTGCACCTTCTCTGTCCTAAAATTCTTTCCCATCAATGATTTTATTCGAATATCTACTTTACTGCAAGGCCTTCCTAAAAGGGTAAACCTCCTGCCATTCTACATTTTACCTTTATTTTATGTTCTATTTTTTCTTCTTATTCCCATAAACACCTCACTGACCACATACTTTATTCATTTGACTTAATTTCCTGCATTCTTTGACTAGAATTATTAACTCCATAAAAGTGCTGTCTTTTCTTGTGTCTTTATCATTGCTGTGTTCCTAAATCTTGGAACAATGCTTGATACATAAAAGATGCTTGGTGTGTTTTTGAAATATGGAATGAATAAATATATATAAATGAATATTTACTGATGAAATATCTAAAAACCTTTAAATAAGTCAAAGCTCTTAGTTTAGTGATTTGTGTATAAGTGTCAGTCACTCACTACCTAATGTGAATGACTAATGTCCAGTTAAAAATGTCACACTTCCCTGAAGTCTTCCTTTAGCACTTATGTTGGAGGTAATCTCTCTGCTCTTTAAAACCTATTGACCTTGTTGAATATGATAGTACATTCCTATAATACCAGATACACAGGAAGTGTAGGAAGGAAGATAGTGGTCTAAGGCCAGCCCTGGTTATAAGTATGAGGCCCCATCTGAAAAGGTAACTGAGGCATAATACAGCTGAAGTCATGGTTCAAGTGGTGGAGCATCGGTCTAGCAAGCACAAGGTCCTGATTTCAAAACCCCAGTACTTACAAAAACAAAACAAGCATGACAAATCTTATTTTCTATGAGTTGTTCTTATGGTACTTGTCATATTCTGAATTACGTTATGTGCTCTCCTTGCATACAAGTTCCTTAAAAGAAGGCAGCACTGTCTTTGTATCTCTGGCAGTCCTTTGACAATGACACTCAACAAATTGTTTTAAAATCAATTTAATTACTGCCAACAAAAATAAAATAAAATTTTTTGCCAAAAGCAAAGAGGAAGTTATACATAGAGGCATCTTACTATTTCAACGTTGTTGTCTAATATTTTTTAAAAAGGATACCTGCCATCTGCATAACAGTAACTACTTCCAAAAAAGTCACTGTGTAAACATTCTATTTCTTTACAGATTATTAATGCTGCACTTGCTTTGGCTGCAAGACCCAAAAGTCAAGTGGTGAAAAATACCATGGAAATGTATAAGCGCACCTGGGAGAACTACATACACATTCTCACTGAGGCTGTAGATGACATTACAAGTATTGATGACTTCCTTGCTGTATCTGGTATGTTCATGATCTTTTCATCTATACATTTACTGTTTTCAAGTTTTTCAAATACAATAATACTGAACATAATTTATTTTATACAGTCTAAGAAGACTTTTACTTATTTATTTTATTATTATTATTATTATTATTATTATTTTGGTGGGACTGGGGTTTGAACTTTAGGCTTTGAGCTTGCAAAGCAGGCACTTTACTGTTTAAGCCACACCTCCAGTCCATTTTGCTCTGGTTATTTTGGAGATAGGATCTTGTGAACTATTTGCTTGGTCTGGCCTCTCAACTTCTCAAATAGCTAGGATTACAGTCATGAGCTGCCAGTACCCAGGAAGAATCTTTTCTTAATTAGTTTTCTTGAAGTGCAACATGGCTCTGTAGTAGCTGGTCTTGTGTCACCAGTAGTCTACGCTGGGATTATGAGCCTCACACCCTGTATAATCTTCACAATTAAGCAATCCATACTATGTTCTTAAAATTAACTCCTGTTCATGTGCAAATCTTAATAGAAAATAGGAGCTGGAAATCTTAAGTCTTTCTTGGTGTTAATAAAACAACATGTCCCTTCTCTAATATGTTAATGACTCTCCATTTCCCTACATTTCTTTTATAACCAAAATTATCTCCAATCAGCAAATATATGTATGTGTGTGTGTAAATATGCATATATATATATGTACATACATGTATAAATACCTACATGTATATAAATGAGAAACCTATTTATATGTATAAATGGGAACATATTTCATTGATTTGAAATATAATATAGTAATTCAACTACAAGTACAGTTATTGATAGTGCTAATCTAAAGAATCGAGGAAACAAGTTTAAACATCCAGATATGTCAGTAACAGATGAGCTTCAAACTCAGGGTAAAGGTGAGATGATTCTCTCACCACAGACGATTATGGGATCCTCAAGGATTGTGGAAATGCTTTCAGAACATCAGATCCTCAAAGGCACAACTCAGGTTTTCATTACACCAATGTTATATATAGCAAACACCTAAATACTTTTTTAGTCTTTTTTATTCTCTTAAAAAGTAATCCTTTCCTTAAAACAGTATACATTCTTGTTTTGTAAATTGCAAATTCTCATGAATATCTAACGTCATTTGTTAAAGTTCTTTGATAGATTTTAATCTATCTGCTGAATTCCTGACTTTCATACATGTATATTATTTTATCCTGAACAACTGTTAAAGGTAACAGGTGTATTTTCATGACATATTAATGAAAAAGAAATACAAAACAATTATTTTAATTAGTTTATGTTCATTGAGCTAAAAATGTGAAAATATAAAAATGTAGAGGAAAGCTATTAATAGCCTTCGATTGCACTATTGAAAAATAATAACCAATGATAAATTATTTTTTCCATTCAGCATTTTTCTATATCCATATTGATATCTTAAAGTATTTGTGCCATGACATAAATATATACACATAGACATTTATATACATATATAAACATTTGCTTTATAAGACATAATTCTTAGCTGCACATTTATGCATCATTGTATAGTCTTCAAAATCTCATTCATTTATCTGTTCTTTTTTGTTAGCATTTAGATAAATTCTTACTTCAATAACTATAAACAATCTTAAGCATCTTTTTGTTTATTTTCTGTGTTATATTTTGCGATGTGAATTCATTCAATCAATATCTCAAATTGGAGCAGTCTTTTGTAATGTAATTGTCAAATGCTAAAATGTCTATGCTTTTCTTGGTTACAAGGCAAAGGAACCTACTCTCACTAACCAACATAAAGGCCACTAACACAGTAACACTGACAGCATGCAGCGAGAAGCCTCTGGATTCACAAGAAGGAGAATGGCAATTGGCCAAGCTTGCTCTGTTTAGAGCTTTGACAGGCCTGTGATCCTGGCAACTCATGGTCTTTACGGCAGGAGCTCGTGGTTTCTCTCTTCAGGGCTGGATTAGTCTGCTCCTTTCTGTGGATAATTTTAAACTCTCTTTTTCTTTTTTCTGTTTTTTTTTTTTTTTTGAGACAAAGTCTTAGTATGCAGCCCAGGCTGGCATAATCTCTTCTGTCTGCCTCTTGAGTGCTGGGATTATAGGTGTGTGCTACCTGCTTATATATACCAGAAAACTCTCATGAGAGCTGCTGAAAGACAGGAATGATTGCACATTTCTGTAATCTCAGTACTCAGGAGACTGAGGCAGGAAGATTGTGAGTTTGAGGTCAGCCTGGGAGACATAACAAGACTCTACCTCAAAAAAATGACTCAACAACTAAAAGTTGCTTAAATGTCAAAATCTTTTATTTCATGTAATTAGTTATTTGACATAGTTGGTTTTAAGTTTACTAGACTTAGTATTTCAGTGGACTGGGGAAGGAGTAGTCCAACTATGTGCAAGAAGGGGAGGAATACTGTTTAAAATTGCCAGTTCAGGATGATAATAAAAAATGGGCTGACAGTTAATGTGCATCATTATTGTTTTTAAATGCCTACCTTAGTATTTCCTATACCCAGAGTGGACTGCTCCCATTTCCTGTATTTTTGATGCCTTAGTTGGTAGTGGGTCAAGGTTACCAATGATCTGTGCAGGTTTCTCTGGATTCTGCTGACTTTTCTTCACAGTTGCATCTTGAAGCATTGAATCTCAAACCATTACACAAAATCACAAACATGAAAAGAAGGTGTCTTGCATCTCTAATTTACCAAGTCAAAAATCTTTCTGAGACTTTCCATCAGAGTTCCTCTTACTTTTTATAGTCAGAACTTTGTCCCTTACCCATTCCTGAACCAATCTCAGGCAAAAGGAGATGAAATTTCCACAATGAATTTAGAGTGCTGAGAAGTGATGAACAACTGACTGGAGTCCAGAGAGAGTGGTAGTTCTAATATGTAGCACTTGTTGATTTCTGTGGCAAAAATACTCCCACTTGGGCAGGTTTCAAGATATCAAGGGAATTATCACTGAACTCTGAGTTGGTAATAAATGCATACAATGAGCTGCCATGAGCAGGCAGGGTCTAGCAAAACAGTAGACCTGTCATAATGCAACTTTGTCACTTATTACACCAGCAAGATCAAAATTTTATTAGCATAAAGAAGAGGAAAATGGTTGCTGAACATACAACCAAACATGGTTGTACAAAACACTAAATGACTTCCACTGCTCATTTTTGTGCCTTCATCAACTTGCATCATATTAGTTGAGCCTGGACTCCAGTGATTCATTTTGTACTATCGGTTCAATCACTGCTCCTGGAGAGGATGACATCTTCCGTCAGATTTCCCCAGTAAAATAAATGAGAGAGAATCTAGCCCAATCGACACACCTTTTTACTACGAGGCTAGAAGTGCTAGGTTGAAGATCACAGGCTAAGCAAAGGCTGGGTTACATTTTTCAGGTGGCTAATCATGGTTCATACAGACATGATGAGGGCTCCTCCATCTGGCAGCTTCTGTGAGGGGCAGATTTTTTCAGAAAGTTTCACAGGTGTGTTCAGCAGCAAATGACTTCTCTGGTATTCCTTTAGGATGATCTTTTAGAGTAAAATAATGTTTGTATTCAGCCTTCTAATTCATCTTTTTGTCAGGTTGATCAACTGACAAGTTGGTTAACAGAGGATTTGAATTGTGAATTACTTAGAGAAAATTAGGCTCACAAAAATTGGGGGCTTTCTTTGAGTAGTCAGTAATAATGTTCATTTAAAAAATTTTATAAGAATAAAGAATAGAAGTTTTGAAAAGATGCTTATTATCTCCTGAATCAGTTGTGAAAATTTGTGTATTCTTAGAATATTAGCCTTCCACATTAAAATATCAATTGAAATTAAAATCTAAAATCAGTAAGATAAAGAATTCTTAGACTTTAAATTATTATCTCATTGTAGTTAGCACAGGTAGGTATCATATTTGATAAAATATTTGCTTATAATCATGTTTTAGAATGACTAAGTGGTTCAATATTGATTATAGGTTCTTGAAATAAGGATAGCTCTAATACCAAATGTAGTCTGTTACTCTATTATAATACAGTATTCTAAATATAATATTACTCTAAATATAAATCTATAAGTGATGATTTTAAAATCAGCACATTTTTATGATATAGAAGTCAAAATACCTCGTTTTGGAAATCATAGCTGGATATTTTGCTTTCTGCTATACATAGAGACCATCAAACCTAAGTACAACCAGTTTTTTTTCTTGAAAATTATGAGGAATATAGATATCTCATATTTATGATAAGTTATAAAATTTTATGTGTTAAATAAAGTTCAACAATGAACCAAAAATAATTTTCTAAAGCAAAAAGATGTTTGGCAAGCTAAGGTCTCTGAAGTTCAACTGTTCAAGGGAAACTTTTTAAAGTGTACTGTTATTTATAGAATAACATCAGTGGCTTCTTGGAAGTAATTGGAAAAATTCCTCTAAACTTTTTGACTCGTCATGACAGATGACATTCCCCACACCATTCACCATGCTCTTTCTCATTCTCTAAAATGCATGTAACAAAACATTCCTCAGAAAACGACTCTCTGAAGACTCTTTGGCCACATGAGGGGCTGTCCTACTTGTAGACAGAAGATGAGATAAAATTTTAGAAACTCTTTTTTTACCAGCCTGTCACAGTACTTGAAATCCCCAATATAATTTATCTATGTTGGAATATAAAATCATTAAGATCTCTGTCTAAGATACAGATTTAGAAGAGGAAATAATATATACCTTAGCTTTTAAATTATTAACTGACTTGACTCCTACTGAGTTATAAACTTTGAGAGAAAGAAGGAATGACTGGATCATAGAACTATTCAATAATTACTAAGAACTGATTGAATACGTGAATTTATTAAGATGCAAACTTTCTTTTATTCCTTAACTAATTCATTAAATATTTATGGCAAAATGGTAAGCCCTATGAAAGGTACTGACAATGAGTAACAGTTAGTGGAAGAGATAACTTTCAAGAGAGCAGTGATAATGAAATTGTTGAACAGATGGGATCACATAAGAAATGG